AGATCTGTTGTGCATAGGATCTCTCTTGAGTTGTCCTCTACTCTAAAGTACCCAACAACAGCATTAGTTGACAAAGGTTCACTGGTTGTTGGTGGAGGGACAGCTTTATGTTACTTCCAAGTTGACAGCAGTACATTTGGGTTTTGAATTTTTTCTTTCTGGATTCTGAAAGGTGACTGATTTTGCACATATCATCTTTTATTGGTAGGCAAGTGGGACTAATGTTGGGCTACTGGCAAAGTTCCAACCAACACATTGTTCTGCAGGAGAAATACGAGGCACTTTGCTCTGACATGTTTGAACAAGGTGGATTGACACAGTCACTGTGACAGAGCACTAGAGTTTATCAGAGGTGATGAGGATGGAGCAGGGGAGGGCAGGGTTTCAGGGCTGTTGGTCATAGGGTTGCTCCAAGTCATAGTGATATGACGGTGGCTAATAACAAACAGCTCTCATTAAGGTTTGCAGCCTTGGAGCCCTGTCAGTAATCTCTGTGACTGATGGTCAGAGTGACAGCACTGGCTTTGGGGTAGGGTTTGGAATGCAGGTTACTTCAGCTCCAGACTTTTTTCTTGATTTCTGCTTATTGTATACACTGTCTGTATCCTTTTCCACACTCATGGGAAGGTGAATCTTGTTTCTCTTTTAACTTTGCAAGGTTTTTTCCTTCCTATAAAAATCTGCTTTTATATTAAATTTAATGATGTGTTAAGACTTCTGACTTTCTGCATTATATTTAGAAACAACTTCACCGCTATTGAAAGTATTCTGCATTTTATAGTTTATGGGTTTTTTTATGTAAGTGTCTTGATTCCTTAAGAGTTTCTTTCTCTGGTTGAAATCCTGGGCTTATTTTTCTTATTTAAAGAAATAGAGTATTGTGGGTTTCACCTCCACACATATACCCACCTCAAGAAAGCAGTGTGGTTTTGTATAAGGTATACTAACTATATCTGTTAATTTTTTTACACTAATGAACTCCCACTTGTCTCAGAATCAGTCCCTGAGTAAATTTATCTCCTCTCTGACTCATAAGTCTACTGTAACAGAAGGATATATTTGTTTGTGAAGAACTGGAAACTTGATCCATTGTAGAGTCAGAACTGACCCCTAGCTGACCCTCCAGTGGGTTTTCAGAGGCAGTTAATTGCATGGGAGGAGATTGCCCATCCTTCTCCCTTGGAGCTGCTAGTGACCTCAAACCTCATGCTTTTGGGATTACAGCACAGCTTCTTGCCACTAGACCACCAGAGTGCCATTAAATACACAGCAGCCTTGTGGAAAAAGAAATCTTCAAGTAAGATAACTAGCACAAAATAAGATAAAGTATTAAATATTTTACCAGTGACACTGAACATTGTGTCTAGAAACTGGAGTAGAAACAGGTTTTGCTGTATGCATTTTCACCAGAAATTAATGATATGTGAGAATAGAGACTATATACGTGATTTGAGTCCTACAGCTCAGCAGAACAGGAAGAGACCATTTGCCATCCGTGCTTTTCTTGTCATGGTTGTACATGACTGATAAACATTCAGCCACCCGTTCTAGGTTCACTAAAGGAGAAATGGATAAACTGTAGAAACTTTAAAAGTCTTTTTCAGGAGTTTCATTTTAGCAAGGTACTTTTTTCCCCCCTCTTGTTACACATCATCTTCCAGGCTATTGATAGATTTGTTTGTAATTATTCTTTAATTTTTCAACTAAATTATTAATATTTTCATGAGCTTTTGGTGATAACCAGCTTTTGTGCTGGATTTGAATCTTCTGATACATATTTTTGTTTTCAAGTTTACATATTCTTGTTGTTATTTCTGTCACTTGTTGTTGCATCGCTTTAAGTGGTTTATTTTCCTTGTTCTCTCCTTATCTCAAATGTGGTCACACAGAGCCCTATGTAATTGACCTATCAGAATAAAGCAGTAGTTCTGCTTTAGTGAGCCTATATAACGTACAAGCAGCAGGAAGCTGTTAAGGTATTTATTCTGCAGTCTTACTCCCCTGACTGTCCTCACATTTCAAGTTGCAGTGCCTAGGATGTTTCATCCCACTCTGCTTTATTTCCTGATTGTTTTAGGGCACAGAGAATTCTGTAACACTCAGGTCATAACTATCATGAATGTTTCTGGAAGTTTGCCTATGAGTGCCACGCGAGTTCTGATCTCTCCTGTTCCTTGCTCTTAGTATTTCTTAATGTTCTTCAGCTTTTTGCCTGGTTTAAGGTTAAATCTGAGTGAAAAGTTATACTTCTTTTCTTTCTGAGTTACCAGCAAGGCTCTAGGGCTCACCTATACTTACTTTTCCTACCAGCAGTTTAACCTATTAAAGTAAAATAATACAACTTAAAAAATAGTAGAGATTCTCAAATTTCCTTACTGTGTGCTCTGTGTTTCTCAGAATGGGATAGCTCTAACCAGTTAGTTGAGGTTAGTTATCATTTTCTTGTTTGAAATAGGATGATGTACTTTCTTGTTACCAAAAGAAGAGCTCATATTATAAGTCTATAAATTCTCTATTTAAAATATAGTTAAAGTTTATATCATAATTGGAAGAAAATGGTGTTTGGATTTCGGATGTTGCGTATTAGTTTTGTTGTTGTTGTTATATGCCGTTGAGTCGCCTGTGACTTATAGCAACCCTGAGTTGCTATAACCCTAACCCTAAACCCTGCACAGGATTGTGCCAATCTTTCTTACTGACTCTGACACACCTACCCCCATTACCCCAGTGACTGAATCAATCTGTCTTATCGAGAGTCTTCCTCTCCTGTGCTGTCCCTTCACCCTCCAAAGCATGACTTCCCTCTACAAGGACTGATCCTGCTTTGCAATATGTCCAAAGTATATCAGAAGAAGCTTCAGAATCCTTACAAGGAGCAGCCTGGTTTCACTCTCTCTAGGAGGAACGTTTTTGCTCTCTTAGCAGTCCATGGTATGTATATTCAATATTCTTCTCCAGCACCACAGCTCAAAGGCATCAGTCCTCTTTTTGCCATCTCTAGTCATTGTCCAGATTTTTGATGCATAGTTAAGTACTTCTTAATTAAATGCATTTGGAACTATCAATTTGAACATTTCAATTTAAAATAATTGAAATGTACTCTATATTATTTTAATGTCATATACAAATTGTATTTTGCTGAACATGATAAAAAATCTGTTTCGTCAATACCTAGACAGGAAAGTATCAGAAGTTCAAAACAGATTCAGAAGATATATAACAAGGTAGATACCACTGCTGTGGACAAATAGATCTTGGCAGAAAGCAGAGAATATCAGAAGGATGTTTTTCTGTGTTTTCTTGCCCATACAGAGATATTCCACTATGTAGATCATAGCAAATCATGGTTACCCTGGTTAAGAAAGAAATTCCAAATGACTATGCTTACATGGAATTTGTATACAGATGAGAGGTAGTTGTTTGAACAGGGTAAGGGGATACTGCCAGGGTTAAAATTGAGAAAGGTGTACATCATAACTATTTCTAGTCACCATATTCTTTCTAGACACCAAGCAAATAATCCATGAAAGCATGACGAAGAATGTTGTGTCAGGATTGGAGAAAACTCATTCACAACCTGTAATATGCAAATCACATAGCTTTGCTTGCTGGAAGAAGATATGTGTGAACCACTTAATGAGAAAAACCAAAGGAAATGCTTCAGCAGGGATTTATTTCTTTTGTATGTAGAAAACCAAAAATTCTCAGAATTGGACCACATGACACTGGTTTAACAGAAAAAAACACCTGAGTTGTCAAGGATTTCCTTTGAGTTGGGTCTACAGTGAATGTACATAGAAGCAGCATTCGAGAAATTATTCTGTCTTGTGCTGGGTACCTCTGCTGCCAAAGATCTCTTTAAAGTGTTCAAAAGCACATGTCACCTTTCGTACTAAAGAGCACTTGACAAGCTATAGTATAATCAGTTGTTTGGCAAGTATTAGAAAACGAAACAATAAATTATGAAGTCAGAAGAATTCACTGTTTTGAATTTTATTGTTGGAAAAGTATAGTGTTGGTATCGTCGCGCCACAGTGCCCTGCTGGGGTAATGAACAAAGCTTGTCTTTGAAGAAGGACAACCACGAGGATCCTTAGACTGTTCAGCCCCATCTTTGCCTTTTGTGACTACAAATGATCTCGGCTGACTCCACATACAGGAAAGTGAGAGCCTTTGGTCTTGCCGTGAGAGATGTGGCAGAACTATAAAGCGCAGAGTTGGTTCTAAGTAATTTAAACACTGTAAGAAATAAATAGTTGGAAGGAGTGGGTAGAGGAAAGGGGAAAAATCCAGTGTGAAAAACAATGTATACGAATTTTGTAAGTAAATATTAAAAAAATAATTTCAAATACACAAAAAGAAATATGTTGTGGTGGATAAAAATAAAAAAGTTAGGGAATAAATATATCCATTACCTAAAAAAGTCAAAACTCACCTACCATTGAGCCCGTTTGGCCTCCTGGTGACCCTCCCAACGTCTCTGGGGCTGTAAATCACAGAAGAGAGAGGGGACTCTGAACAGAGTGATGCTGCCCTTCTTTCTCCCACTGAGCCACGGGTGGATTTTAACTGCTGGAAAGTATAATCTGTGGTCAAACAGACAATTTGAAAACAAAGTAAACTCTATAGCAGTCTCCATAAGGAGTTTATGTGTGTGACTGTTATTTCATTTCACTTAACATCTCTGATTTTAGAAAAAGGATTTCTGTAAAGGTTAATCTGTTTCTCTTGGGTCAGTTCCAACAATACGTGGGCAGCCCCATGTATTTATGTGTAGAACTGCCTGCCACCGCTGCTAGTTTTCTTGGATAGCATGTTAACAGCAGCACATTAGCTGGTCTTTCTTTCATAGGGCCTCTGGTCATGAGTTCAGACCTCTAATTTTTAGACATATAATTGAGTGTTCTCAAGGACTTGTGGAAAGAAAACAGAACTGATAAAAATAAAGTCTCATCTCTCATACTTAGTGTGTCTTTACCCCTCTTTCTTTTCTCTTCTAGGATAGTGGAGATTATCCCCTTACCATGCCTGGACCACAGTGGAAAAAATTTCGTTCAAACTTTTGTGAATTTATTGGAGTCTTGATTCGACAATGTCAATATAGCATAATTTATGATGAGTATATGATGGACACAGTAATTTCTCTTTTAACTGGTTTGTCAGACTCCCAGGTCAGAGCTTTTAGGCATACAAGTACCCTTGCTGGTAAGTCACCAACATTTTCTTTCTTTTCATTTGAATTTTGTTGAATATGCTTCATTATAATTCATTTCAATTAATCAGTTGAAAAATAATGTTTAACATCTTTTAATTCAAATGAATTAGTTGTGTTGTTTATTTGAGTAAACTATATACCTATTTTGAGAATGAAAATTGAAACTTTCTAGTCAATGTAAACAGATATTTAGTTGTTTTTCTACCTTTTTATATTACCCAAAGAAGTTTTAGGAACTCACTAAGCCATATCCTTTAGTAAACCCAAATAATAATAGTTGGGATTCCAAATTCCCAGCATTTTATCTTTACTTAAATGCATTCTTTTCTTGCTGTATTTTGCATACATGTAGCTTTATGTATTTGAGAGAAACAGTTCTATCAAATTAATCTAGCAGAATCATTCTTCCTGTTCCTTTTCCTAAAATTACATAAACATGTATCTACCAAAGCATGTTTCCAAAATCAGTTCATTTGGGTGAGCTGTAATTGTTAGAAAAACTGACAGATTGCAGATTGCATGTTGACTTCTTTCATCATTGAAGAATCATTTAGACTACTTCTTAGTCATTAATATATTGTGTTCTTTTTTCCATAACAAAGTAATTTTGTTAAACAGTTGTTTTGTTAGCCCTCCACTACTGTAACTCTTTGACTAAAATGATAGTCCTTTTCTTTCATTATGTATATATGCAGGTAGACATACATGTTTATGTATATGTGCACCTATACACACCCATGTATTTAAATACTGCCAATTACATCCTTATTTACTATCATTATTATTATTGTCTAGAACCATCTTAATCTATACCATAACAAAAACTTTAACTGCATTTCACCTTGTAATTAAATTTATAATTTAGCCCCCCCCCTTTTTAAAAAAAATGCATTGGTTCTCAAATTTTGGTATGCATCAGGATAACCTACAGAACTTTTTTAAAATGACTGCTGGGGTCAACAACAGAATGTAACAACTTTTAAGGGGATGCTGTTGGTTTGATGTTTCAACATTGAATATCCTGATTTATAGTTTTGCCATTTCCTCTTGGATAAAACCATTGTGATAATATTGTCTGATGACATCATGTTTTTTGCATATCTTTCTGTCCCCCCTTCCAGTCAGCATGTTGTTGTTAGGTACCATCAAGTCAGCTGTGACCCATAGCAACTCTGGGAACATCAGTAAACTCTGCCGTATCCAGCTCAGTCCTCACAATCTGTGTCATGCTTAATTAAGCCTTTGGTCGTAGTCACTATGCTATTCTATCTTGTTGAACGTTTTCCTTTCCTTCACTGACATTCCACCTTTCCTAGCATGATGTCTCTTTCAAAGGAATGGTTCCTCTTGAAAACATGCCCCAAGGAAGTTATATGAAGTTTTAATTTACCATTCTTGCTTCTAAGGAACACCATGATTACACTTCCTTTAAGATAGATTTGCTTGTTCTTTTGGCAGTACGTGGGCTATTCAGTATTTTTCTCCAAAACCACAATCAGAGATACCAGTTCTTCTTTGGTCTTTTTCATTCATTGTCCAGCTTTCAGATGTGTAAGAAGCAGTTGAAAATACTGTGACTTGGATCAGATGCACCTTAGTCTTAAAACTGACATCCTTGCTCTTTACAACTTTTGTGAGGGTCCCCCAACATGTCTTTCGATTTTTTTTCTAATCCAAATAAAATTAAATCATTGGCAATTTCAATCTTTTCTCCTTCTGTCATATTTTTGCCTAATCATCCAGTGGTGAAGATTTCCCCCCCTTGTCTTGAGATGTAGCACATATGAGGGCTATAATCTTTGAACTTATACAATAAGTTTGTTACTTTCTACAAGTTGGGTTTTGTCATTTGCTTAATAAAAGATGGTTTATTGGTTTGTTTTATGAATTTCTATTTTATATTATTTTGCATAAAAATATATATTGTGTTTTATACTTTCCTTTATTCACATTGTGTTTTATACACTCATTCCTGTACATTGTTAACACAGGTTGTTGATTAGTCTTCTTTCATTCTTGATACCACATTCTTCTTGGTAGTCCAGTTTCTTGAAAGATTTTTTGCCAGCATACAGATTGATTAAGAATACAGCCTTGACACACAACTGTCCTGATTTTAAGCCATGCGGTATTACTTTGTTTGGATAGCTACTTCTTGGTCTTATTTCTAGGTTCCCCAAGAGCAGAATTCAGTATTTTAGAATTTCTTTTCTTTTCAGTGTTAACCATGATATGTTTTAATCCACAGTGCAAATGCTTTTGCATAAACTTTTATATGCAAGTTAACATCTTTTTGCTATTTTCTACTTTCACATAAGATCCAGGTGACATCAACAAGGATATCTATTCCTAATGCCATTGCATTTTCTAGACTCCGATGTGAATTTCTAGCAGTTTGATGTTCCAACGTTTTTTGAATAATCTTCAGTAAGATATTACTTTCATGTGCTATTAATGATCGTGTTAAATAATTTCTATACTTTGTTGGATAGTTTTTGAAGTGGGAATAATTTTAGGTCTCTTCAGCCAAGTTGGTCAAGTAGCTCCTTCCATAGTTGTTGGCAGAGACTGGTGAGTACATCTAGATCTGCATCTAGATCTACATCTATTCCCTTAAACATCTCCATTGGTATTCCTTCAGTTCTTGAGGCCTTGCTTTTTACCAGTGAGTTTAGTACAGCTTAAACAGCTTCCTTCAGAACTGTTGGGTTTTGATCAAATAGTACTTCTGATACGGTGCTGTGTGAACCAGTTCTTTGGTACTGACCGTATCCTTTTATCTTCTTTTTCATCCTTTCTGCATCATTCAAGATTTTGTCCTTAAACTCCTTTATTGCTGAAACTTGATACTTGACTTTGTTCTTCAGTTCTTTCACTTTGACAAATGGCAGTGCGTCTTCTTTTGTGGTTTTCTGCGGAAGCTCCTTGCACTCACTCTAATACTTACTTCACTCTAAGACTTGTCTTTGTCTTCTTGAGCTGCACTTGAAAGTCTTCTGGTCCTTCCTCTTGTTTTTGCTTGTTTTACTCCCATTGCAAGTTTCAAAGTCTGTTCAGATATACATTTTTGCTCCTAAGGTGCGCCTGATACAGGCCATGGTCTTTGCAATCGCTAGTTATGCATCAGAGCGTTGGACAATGACTAGAGAGGACAGAAGGAGAGTTGATGCCTTTGAGCTGTGGTGCTGGAGAAGAGTATTGAATGTACCATGGACTGCCAGGAAAACAAACAGATTCATCTTGGAGAGGATTAAACCAAGCTACTCCTTGGAGTCAAAGATTCTGGGGCTTCGTCTGACATGCTTTGGACATGTTGCCAGGAGGGACGGGTCCTTGGAGAGGGACATCATGCTTGGGAGGGTGGAGGGACAGCGCAGGAGGGGAAGACCCTCTGTGAGATGGATTGATTCGGTGACTGGGGTAATCGGGATGGGTGTGTCAGAGGCAGTGCGGTTGGCACAGGACAGCGCAGGGTTTAGGGCTGTTGTGCATAGGGTCGCTATGAGTCGCAAACAACTCGACGGCACATAACAACAACAACAAGAACAACTTGCATAATCCGTATTAGTATACCTTATTCTTAATTATCTTTCTTGGAAATAAAGTTTCTTTTCTTCTGAGGATGTTCCTTTATTGAGAAGAGAGGAAAAATTTTTGCCTAGCTTTATATTTTTTTTTTTTAAAGCAAGGATAGCATTTATTTAGAAAAAAATTTCTGAATGGTGTAAAAATCTAGCCATGTATATTCTTTTTTTTGAATAGTCCTTTCTGAAAATCAGAAGAGGTAAACATCTTATATACTTTGGTATACTTTTTCTTTAAAGGAACTATAAAATTACTGTTTATTATTAAAAAGAAATCTTTGTTTTTATACATTTCCTTAGAACTTCATTTTTTAAACATAACTTCATTATTTTTAATCTTTTATATTTTAGGATCCTCTTTTTCTTCTATTTTTGGTATATTTATTTATGCTACTTTTTTTATGTGCAATAATACTCATTCAGGTAGTTGCCAGATGCAGTATAATTTGATTCCTTGAAATAAACAAAGTACTTTACCTATAATAAGGCTTTTGACTTGCCAAAATGGCAGTCATAAATATTAACTTGCCTTATGTAGAAGGTTATTATTTCCTAGGTCCTTAAATAAAAGAAAAAGCAGCAAATATGGAGGAAAAACCTTAGATGGTATCTTGCTGATACAATTGGGAAATAACTCATAACAAAGTAGAAAGTTTTTTTAAATCTGGTTTCTGATCTGACAGTAGAGGAGACAGTTTTGTACAGGCAAACTATCTACTCTATTCAAGAAGCCTATACAATTTGTATAAAAATTAAAACTATTCAAGGGAAAATACTTAAGGGAATGTACAGAATGTTTTTATTTTAAAATAATTTTGAGTCTTATGAAAATTTAGCTTTGGTTCTTTTGCATTTGTGCTCCACTGCCATCTAAAGGAGATATTACTGTGTTTTATCATCTTTGTGATGGTCTGTTTGTAATTATATTATTGTATCACTAACTCTCTTTTCTTTGTTATACTTAAGTACATCTGCTAATTTTTTCATATGCTTACATACATTTTCATTAAAGCTGTTAGCTACCCCTTTGAGGTGAATAGCAAATCCTTTTACCCAGTACTTTTTTGTGACTTTCTTCCTTCAACCAACTCTGTTCAAGACTATTTGTTAAGACTATTTGACAAATACTATTCTGTTCTCACCTAGTTTCTTTTTTATATCATCATCATCTAGCATATTTAAATTTGTAATGTTTTGCAGAATTAGAGATACCATTGAAACCAGGTAATCTATATAGTATTTATACTGATTTTTCAGAAGCTAAAACCCTTTTTGTCTAAAATAAGTTTTAAAAATTAACTATGATTCTCATGTGTCATATCTGCCAAGGCTCAGTTTCTAACTCTTACGATGGATTAGTGTCACACCCTTCAGTAAACCATAGAGAGCTTGCTGTGAACTTAATT